CTACAACTATGCTTCCTGGTATTGTTCGAACCATTCGTATCGTCCCCCCACGACTTGACTGATCTGGAATACCCCTCAAGACTGAGATGCGGCTTCACAACATTCAGAGGTACACTGCATCGTCCGCAATCGGCCATTCCAAATGGCCCATTTGTCGCCGTTTCTGTCTCAAGATTCGAACTCGGGTCATATCGTTTATCTGTCGGGAGCTCTACCCGTAGACTAAACTATTTATCACAAAATATAGGCGGCCCTTCGGAGATATGTCCGATCTCTGAGCGTGTGGGCCCTGGCAAGATACCAGTGGCAAGGCTGCTTTACCAAAATTCTGCTAATGACAGTGTAAGTATGACTATCATACTGATACTGTCATCAGCGCAATCGTGTCATACTATGACACGAATTGTGTTACATGATCATATTCAATATATATTCAATGTAGTATGTTTCCCCCATTTCCTGGACTAGAAGACTTCTGGTAGAGTTCTCAGTTGTGAGTAAATCCGATAACGCAGAGGATCTCACATTGATGTGTCGTCCGGTGATAATAATAGAGATGGCTCGGCTGGATGACATGCGCCCTCGACCAGCTTTCCGCGGCGATCATAGATTCACACTCATCAAAGGCGGATCCAAGTCAGGCTACTGAGTCCTGATACTCCCGGAAGGCTCTACCGGGGTTCGTAAATCATTCAGAGCTTTTCGGAAGCTCAACTCCCAGAGGATTCATAGGGTCGTATATCGTTTCGGGAGCAACGTAAAGTAAGCAGTACAACGGCAATATCGCACTGGTCGAAACTAGCGAGATGTATGAATTAGGCAAATGCCGCATACTCGGCGGTAATGTCATGCAATCGACCCATCGAATGGTATTATGTAACCACAAACTAGCTATCGATTCAGCAACATCTAAAAGACACTTAGGGAGTAGGGAAAATTTCAAGGCGAGGACTCTGACCTGGAACACACTTCATCGCTTCATCTCTTCCTCGAATCTCCACTGGTAGGCCTACACCTCGAACAGTGCCATGGCTTTCTGGGATTGGCTAGGTCGGGTAACGGGTATCCAGTCGCCATACACCAAGCTTCAGCGCAGTCACTATGCTACCACCCCGTAGAGATGCATTTCTTTGATGAGCAATATACTTTGGGTGAGTCAAAGTAGCCCCAACAGCATGCTGACAGATCTCTCCTCTTAACTGAGGGTAGTTCAGAAGATGGAGGGATAGAGTGCGGAGGCCATTCGAAACAATCGAGCCCCCTTACTCTAATGCTGGACTGAGTGGGCCGCTCAGAGTGGCTCGGAGGGCCTGCGCTTGGTCCTGGCGTGCTCCTCCATAGCGGATAGTTTCATTCAACCTCAAACCGGGACCGGCCACACCTTTGCTGAGCTTCCTCTGCAGTTTCGCTTCAGCTCTTGGCCACGCCACTTGGTCATCGACTTCAAAGTGACGTCCCAGAGCTACCACATGGGAGCACCTACTTCTCGCTGCAAAAGATTCCCAAGTGCATCTTGGACCTCCATCCCGAGGAAGCCGAGTGACATCAGAAGTAGTAGTGAAAGTCACAACTTGTGACTCACAAGCGATATCTTGTCCATTATCCTCTTCACAGTCTGGAAGTCTGCGTACCTCTGCGTTACCCTCAGGCATAGCATCTTGTCAGCCACTCCAATCCGTCTGGTGCATTGGTTTGTCGCCTCGGAATACGTACACATGTTCTCTAACACCAAAGTGGTGAGATGCCTTGCGTCGCAAGGCTTGCGACAGATATCTTTGCAACAAGAGGCTCGATGACAGGGACCACTCACTGATGACGGGAGAGCCCTAGTAAGGGGAAAAAAGATAGAGTGGCTAGAGCTGACACCTTATCTGACTGGTGAATAATCCTCCCGTCGACTCGATGCTTATTATATGCCGAGACGGCTTTAATCTCCTGCTAGAACGTAAGCAAACTGCAATAAAGCTCGCATCCTTCGAGAGCGAAGAAGGGTCTTCTTGAGGAATCTGTGGAATACCTCAATTCCGTTACTCGTTCTCCCGCCCACGCCGTCATTGTGACAAACAGCCCACCGGTAACGGAAGCTATCGGTATCGAGTCATTCTCCACTCGCCATAGAGTTGAGAAAATCAACCGCTTTAGCCGCGCCTTTCTCGTTCCATTTACCGAAGAAAAGCTCGACGAGAGAGATGAATTCTGGCTGACTTGAAGCTTCAGCTACCGCCCTCAGATCGCTCTTCAACTCGCCCCATAGCCCTGCTCTCATTCCAACTGGTTTCTTCCTTTTGGCCGCTTGCATGAAATGGAAGAAACAACAGCTCATAAGTGCCTGTTCGAAGGCCGCAGACAGAGCACCGTGGAGAGCCTTGGAGCGGCTCCAATGGAGCCATCTTGAATAATTCGGGTGATCCGAGCTAATTCGCACACACCCACATCCCTGATGAGTTCGTGGAATGATCTCAGGACATGTTCGATGCTGCGTCTATTTTCACTCCTAACCAGCCCCACTAGAATTGGTCGAGCAGCGTTCATGGAGGTCATGGTGAAAACCGAGCATTCCGCAGCAATCAAATTAAAGGTAACATCAGCAGCAATTTCGTCACTACTCAGATAATTATGTAGCAACCGTAGTGACCTGAACCCGATCGCCATCTCTAGAAGATTCCCATATTCGCCAACTTTCAAAGTGGGACTCGGGGTCATCAAGCATATGTTCGGTTTATCGCGTAGATGCTCGTCCATCTCAGTGGCATCTTCCAAACCAGTTCGCTTTATGACATCGATAATGTCTGATACCTGTCACGAGCCGAGCTGGAAGTGGGCGCTGAATAAGGGGCAGGAACACTTATCCTGGAGGACATGTAAGTGACAGTGTACACCACGAAGCACACCTCTTCAACGGCTATTTGGTAAATAGCATATTCAATTGGGACTGCCGATCGGAAGCGAAGATAAGATCGTGGAAGAACGTCAATTTGGCTACAGTGTCTTGAGAACTTCAATTCCGAAACATCAGTAAATACAGTCTCGAATTTGGGAATTCTCGTCTCGAAAAATATCGCTTAACTCAATAAAAGAAACTTACTAATCAACCATGTGACATGGTCCTTGTCGATGGAAAACTGTTATCATGGCCAAGACTCTGGCAAACAAAAAAGACCAATGGTAATATACTATATGCATGGCTCGTGACTATGGCATACTACCATGGGTAGTTTTTGTTTCTAAGTCTTTCTTGTTTTGAAATATTCGTCCTGATAGGTGTGATGCTTCGAAATTGAAGTTTTTAAGGCGTTCTATCCAAATGGAAGTTCTGCATTCTGCATATTCAAAAGGAAGTAATGTCTCACCTACTACTTCCTACTAGTAATAGCCTCGTCTAGGTTGATGCTTGGTAATAATCTGATTAGTTATGAGTTATGACAATCAGTGACTGTCAGTCACAACTGGATAGTGATATAGACTATTAGGGCCGTAAGCCTTGTGGAAAGCCTCTAATTATTCGATACTTACGTTGAGATCTCCAAGATCTTTGCCGATGTCACGTTGTACTTTTTCTAGGAGAGCTCAAGTTTTCGTCCATATAGTCGACGCGAGTAATTGACGTGACAGTATTCCGAATGTTACCTGAGAGGGTCGAGAGTGAGCAAAGACAACTAGTGAGCGA